TCGCCAGACTGGAGTGCAATGGCACACTCTCAGCTCACTGCAGCCTCCGCCTCCTGGGTTCAAGTGATTCTCCTGCCTCAGCCTCCCAAGTAGCTGGGATTACAGGCACGTGACACCAGGCCCGGCTAATTTTTGTATTTTTAGTAGAGACGGTGTTTCACCATCTTGGTCAGGCTGGTCTCGAATTCCTGACCTCATGATCCACCTGCCTCAGCCTCCCAAAGTGCTGGGATTACAAACATGAGCCACCGTGCCCGGCCTACACTCACACTAAGATCATATTTCTCCCTAGTGAAATAAAAGAGAATGATGCCCTTGCCCCAAGGAAAGGCTTCTCCAGGTGGATGTGACAATTGGATGAGACCATGCATGGCTACAGCTTCATCCGGTGCTTGGCATTCAGCGTGTGCTTTATGAAAGGCAAATGTGGTTGCTTCTTTTATTTCCTTGTCAGAGCTCCTCAGTGCTAGCGCGAGAAGAGACGCAACATCAGACAGGTTGATGCCAATGGGAGTTGAGTTGTCTCTGATATTAGGTGAAATTTATTTTCCAATTTTCTGTATGTAGTTATAATTTAAATTGTATACATATGTATTTGCTTAAGGAGAAGTAAAATATCTAGTGTATAGAATTTTAAAATTACATGAATATATGAAAAAAATTATTAACCAGGAAGTAAAAGTAGGTTAATGTCCAGAGTTGAATCAGAAATAAAAGATTCAATGGGCACTGTGGCTCACATCTGTAAACCCAGTACTTTGAGAGGCTGAGGCAGGAGGATCACTTGAGCTCAGGAGTTCAACACCAACCTGAGCAACATAGCAAGACCCCATCTCTATTAAAAAAAAAATTAAAAATTAGCCAGCCATGTCATGCTCCTGTAGTTACAGCTACTTGGGTGACTGAGGTAGGAAGATTGCTTGAGCACAGGAGGTTGATGTTACAATGAGTTATCATTGCATCACTGCAGTCCAGCCTGGGCAACAGCATGAGACCTTATCAGAAAGAAAGAAAAGAAAAAGAAAGAAAGAGAGAAAGAGAGAAAGGAAGGAAAGAAGGAAGAGGGGAGGGAGGGGGGGCCGGGGGAAGATCAGAGATCACGCGGTCATGACATTAAAAATTAGCAAGCCATGTCAT